CTAATTACTTTAGTAATTAATTAGGAACTATCTATTGCAGATAGGATATAAATACAGTAGTTTGTAGGTGAAGCATGTTACTAACAATGACAGCAGGAGAATGATTAGTAATCCAAAGAAAGTCTCAGTCATGTTATAGACTCTATAAAAAAATTTAGTTGCCCAAAAGCAGCCGCGTTATACAAACAGTGAAGCATTAGCTGCCCAACTATAATCCTTTATAGGGTATTTGCTAAAAGAGCAGAGGTGGCACAGAATGAATATAGACAGATGTTCCTGCTGCTTGGCATGAAAGCTGCAGATTTGCTCTGTTGCATAACAGCAAAAAACAATTAAATAAATAAATGTGTGTGCATTACCGCAATATGTGTACCGCACATGTGAACTTTATCTGTGTGTGTAATGTGCGAGTAATATGTTTTTGTTGGGGGGCTTTAAGTCTAGGTCAGGGGTAGGCAACCTTGGCTCTCCAGCTGTGCTGAAACTACAAATTCTATAAGGCATTGCAAGCCACAGGCATGACTCGCAGAAGCACAGCTGGAGAGCCAATGTTGCCTACCCCAGGTCTAGGTATACACCCATGTACTGCAGTAACGCACATGTGTTGAAGTTTTTTTTTTTGGACCATTAGCATTCTTTGCCTTAGAACAGCCCTTCATTTGGATGAAGGAGCCACAAAAAGGAGCATGTACCTTTAAACAAATACAAACATGCAGTACCCCACAACACACATGTGTTAGCAAGGTGTTTGGGGTTTTTTATTTTGCTACTTTTTATTTATTTATTAACTCTTGGGGCTTTAGTGAAATATTAGGGGTCTGTTCCTATGTAACCCTTCAGTAACCCTTACTTTACCCTAGGCAACCTTAATTAACTTTCCCTTCCCCTTTTTAGATCTATCTTTTGAAACTGTCATTAGTTGTTTATAGTTTATGTTCATGTTATTTCCATTAAAAAAGCATGACTTGGGGGTGTGGCTTGGCTGCTGAGAGGAATGGCCACTTGACCCTGCTCTCCTCAGAAGGATAGCCACACAAAGAAACTCACAGCAGGCACCAGAGCTTAGATCGCCTCCTTCTGACTCCTCCACTGCTCGGTGACTCAGCCTGACATGTCACAGAGGAAGAACATGCAGAAAGAGCCCTGTCGGCTTACTGATTATTACTCCCCGCCGGGAAACCGCGGGGAGACAACATGATGCCGGTCCCTCACAAGTGCCAGCGTCTGGAAACACACAGTCTGCCTCCTCCTCCAGCCATAAATCTGCTGACCCTGTCTCATGCTTAAAGGAAGCCAGCAAACGACATGCCAGGTCACCTCTGCAGTCTCCATTTACAAAGGCACCTGTAAGTGCATCTGTTCCCTCCTCTCACACATCTGCTGATCACTCACTGCTATTAGAAGACTTGGCTGGGTCTAATAATCCAGCATCTGAGGCATGCATTAAACAAATGCGTCTATCACTGCACTCTGAGCTTCAACAAGATTTTAAATCCTCATTTGCCTCTTACAATCACAATTTGCTGACTTTGGCGATCATACTGACCATGTTGAAGCCAAATTCAGTGAGTTCACTTCTGCTCATAATGATTTGGTGGACGCATACACTGACCAACGGTCCCTTCTGCAGCAGCTACAAGACAAACTTGCTGACTTAGAGGACAGATCCAGGAGGAACAATGTGAAATTAAGGGGTATCCCTGAATATGTGACCACCTCTGAACTTTTGCATTATCTCAACCAAAGTGCTACTTCCAATGCATACTGCCGCCGAGTTGCTTATTGATAGAGCTTGTAGGCGCCACAAACCGAAATATCTCCCTGACTCTGTTTGCAGAGATGTTATAGCCAGGCTGTACTTTTTCCATGTGAAAGCTACAGTAAGCTCATGATGCTCACTAAAAATTATCCAGTGCTTCCTGCTCCTTATATGCATATCTCAATATTCACAGATATCTCAGCAGACACAGTAAAGAGAAGAAAGGACTTTGCTGTTATAACCAAAGCATTATGAGATAACAAAATCTTGTATAAATGGGGATGTCCCACTAAGTTGATTATTTGCTGCCAACATGCTGTAATCCCTATCCTGTCACCTGTGAATGGAATGAAACAGCTCCAAGCATGGGGAATCTCCATCACGTTACCTCCTACGCAGGCTAAACATACCACACCAGCAAGGGTGCCGGTTGATTGGTCTATACACTGATCACCCCTCCATTCTCTTTTCAACCCATTTCTGGAGTCCTGCAATTTTACATAGGTATTAGGAAAGGTATTACACTTTTTTTCCCCTCAAACCCAGAATGTGTACTTCAGACTGGCTTTATTTGTAACCAAGAAATTTACTCTCCAGCAAGTGTCCAAGATTGATTTTGGACTAATAACTTGGTCCGACCATGCCCTATCTCCATTAATTTATTCCCAGACCCTTTTCAGACCACCCAATATGCCCACAAAGAGTATCTCCAGTCTGAATTGCAGCACTTCTTTCACACTAATTCCCCTTCTGTCACTAGCTCCATTACGCTTTGGAACGCACACAAAGTGTTTGTTTGAGGCTTACTTATCAAACTGGGTTCTCATGAGAAGAAACAGCAGCAGCATATTAGAGATGATTTGTTACCCCAAATTCAAACCTTAGAACTCCAACATAAAAAATCTTCAGGCCTATTAATTGCTCAACAACGTAAATCTTTAAGACAGAAATTCAGTCAAGTGCTCACTTCTCAATATGATCTCATGCTTAGGAAGACAAAACTCAATTTGTATTCCCAAGGCAACAAAGCTGGCTCCATCATCGCTAAACAACATAAGAAACTCAAAGTTAAATCCAGGATTCCATATTTAATAGACACCTCGGGTGTCCGCTTATCCAACCCTGTAGATATAGCCAACTGTTTTAGTGACTTTTACTCCTCACTCTACAATTGACAACACTCTATGGAAACCCAATGCCCATTTGAAGCAGATTTTGAACACTTTCTAGACACCTTATCACTTTCCAAACTATCTGCGGATCAGCTTGTTGCCCTCATCACCCTCTTTTCTGCGGGGGAAATTAATACAGTGATATCTGCTCTGCTCTTATACAAGACCCCTGGGCCGGATGGTTTTAGGTCAGAATATTATAAAACTTGTGAAGCTGACCTAACCCCTTACCCTCTGTTCCTTCACTAACGAAGCAGCAGATAAAGGTCACTTCCAAAATTAATCCCTAGAAATGCTTATTGTTACCATACCAAAACCTAGTTAATCTGAAACTGACCCTGCCAATTACAGACCCATCTCACTCCTAAACACTGATCTCAAGATTTATGCTAAACTACTTGCCAATAGACTTATGACACTTCTTCCCCCGTCATACAATCTGATTAGGTTGGATTTGTATGGGGAGGAGGGGCTCCAGATGGTACTAGGAGATTTATTGATCTTCTGCCATTGGCAGAGTCTTCTCGTTCTTTTTTGCAACGTACCATTGACACAATTATTTGGGGAGGCAAGAAACCATGTATCCCTAAATCCTGCTTTTACTCTTCGAAATATAGAGTGGGCGTGGGAGCTCCCGATGTCAGTAAGTACTGCAAAGCTACTATACTTGACCAGATCAGACACTGGTGGATGCCTGCCTTGACTAAATCCTGGACTCACACATCAAGCTTCTCTCCTTGCAATGGACTTCCCTTCGGTCCTCTGTTCCACCCTGTTGAACTTTACACCTCCTTGTTGCCCCCTTGATACAGTTACGACTGCCACTAGAGTCTGGTCCTTTTAGGATCCACTGCTCCTGATGGCTTCCTTTTACAATATCTTCTCATCTCTACTGTTGACGTTATTTTTGAAGAAAGATGCTTTACGCCATGTATGACCCTTTTACTGACACGCTTACACCATCTATATTCCAACGACGAGACCTCAACTGTCGAAAACCAACGTCAAGTCAACGATATAACATTCTGCCCAGAGAATTATATAAATACCTCAGGCTCCAATTTCCTGGCATCAGTTTGGATAAAAGATAACAGCTGTCTCTGGAAGATCTTTTTGCAAAAGTACAATGTAGGGCCCCTATTCACGCCAATTGTGGTGTGTTCCAGAGCGGCAGCTGCTGGAAGGCACAGGAATCGCTTACAAAACTTCCCCCTTCATTCTGGGGCGGGAGGGGGCGTAGCAGTGCACTGAAGTCAATGGCACTGCAGCCTGCTACCCCCACAGTGCGATCGGACACGTGGAAAAACATTGCCTGCATTCCGGTCCACTGCGAACACAAAAAATAGAGCATGCAGCATTTTTTGCGTTTGCAGTGGAATGGAAAGCAGGCAATGTTTTGCCACGCGTCTGATCACACTGTGGGCGGGGGTGTGACTGCGGTGCATAGACTTCAATGTACAGCCACGCCCTCTCACGACCCAGAACGAAGGGGGGGAGTTGTGTGAGTGTTTGCTGTGTGTTCCAGCAGCTGCCGCTCTGGGACGCACCACAATTGGTGTGAATGGGCCTGTAGGGGAGAGATCTTCACCAAAAACATGGAATGCTGGCTTAACGATCCTCGTTGCACGGTATATTTAACTTAATATTCCATCACCTTCATCTGCCTATACATCTTTTTAATTGGCCCTGTTCTTCTTCCTCTCTTCTACATACTTCGCTCCTCCTGGGCCAGTAGTAAATAAAGCTTGCACCTAGTTTATAAAAACTGTGGTATACACACTTCTTCAATGGAAGTAATATAAACCGAAGACAAAAGAATGTAATGTAGCTATAATGGAATTGATTTATTGCGTATATTCTGACCTATTACTGCCTGTCATATTCACAAGCTAGGGAGCAGTAGAAGAATAGAAAATTGAAAAAAAAGAAAATGGAATCAAGTAATAAAATATAAGTATTACTCCTAAATAGCTTAAAAAGAAGAACAGCTTTAATTAAGAGGCATATTAAACAATCAGAATAGTTTAGTTATAATGCCAAATAAACACAGTATATATTACAAGTCATACCTGTCGGCCAGCTTTGATTTCCTTAAGTACAATCTCATAACAAACCTCTTCCGTATCATGGAGTTGTTGAGTCTATAAAATAAGAAAACAAAAATAGAATAACTATTTAGTGAATGAAAAGACTTCACATCTATATCATCAGAAAATTGTATGTCAGGACAGTTATTATATGAATAGATCATTGATAAATAAAACTGCAAAGTTCCAAAAGTTGTTAGGAAGATGGACTGCACCACAATAACAGCTTTACAACACCAGTGGTATTTAGATTAATTGGTAGGCATGACCTTTGAACTCCATGGCCTGAATAAAAAGTTATCAGCATACATAGAAGCATTTTTACTTTGAGAGGGATCCTCACTGGCTTCTAAAATACTCATAATTTACATCGCATAGTGCATAAGGCTATAAATCAAGGTTGATTAAATTTTTCTTTTTCAATAATCACTTAAAAGAGAGTCGAAAATTAGGTATAACTACTTGGGCTACTCTACTTTCAACAGGCAAACAGAGCAGCAGAGAGTGAAGGAAATATAAGTATTCCTTCTAACATCTAAATGTGAGCTGAAACACATACAAGGAAACTATTTTACCTGACAAAGGATTTGCACTTCTGCACTTCTTTGAGGTAAGTTTTGTGACTGAGGCACAACAGTCTAATAGCACAGACAGATCATAGATTCCAAATGCACCAAAAGAACAGATGTTTAATATATGCTTGGGGCCTTAAATGTTACCTTAGGAAATTATCGTTTTTCAATTGTATTGCATTTGTGGTCAGCTTTATATTATTCACTCTTTCTGGATGTAAATATCAACATTCATAACCATTTTTAAAATGTTTTTACATCAGCCACAGGGCAAACAAATTGTTGTCTTCCAAACACAAGTCAGGCTAAAACAAATGTAGATGTGCTAGAAATATTGCACGTGTCACTGAACAGATTTAGAACTAGCCGTTGTTTTAAAAAAAAAATCTCCATGGTATAAAGAAGCCAGGAATAGAAACAGAAATAGCTCCAGGCTACTTATAGCATGTGATTTTCAATATTTGTATGCGAATCTGGAGCTAAAAATCGATTGAAATAAACAATCTCTTCTGAATTCCAGGTTACAGCTTGGATAAATAAACAATACTAATACAACATTTTGAATTACCGTTCTGGAATCTTGTTTTAGTATGCTCTTCCAGTTTTTAGCAGGCCATTCTATGATTTATTCAATAACATAGCTATCAATGAAAGTCAAGTTCCTTTTAAAAAAATGGTCTATGTATAGAATGGAAAAATAAAAGTAAGATAATGTCCTTAATCAATAATCTAAAACAAAAGGTAAAAGAAATTAAGAAAATATAGAACTGTAAAATCTAAATAAACTGGCAATTATTGTGACAAAATGCAAAACTACCATCTGTCGTAATGGATTTATACAACCATAGATTGAAAAAGGTAGGATAGGGGAGATTTCCCTCTCCAGAGTAACCCATAGCTTATTCATATCGTTAAACTTTCGATCCAATATATGGGCCAATAGTGTGAAGTTATAGTATGTTCTCAAATCTGGAAGGGACAGTCCTCCGCCCTCCTTCCTTCTTATTAAAATATCATATGCTAGTCTAGGAGAGCGCCCTGCCCATATATATTGTATCAATGTCGAACGATTTTGATGAAAGAAGGAGGCTGGCAATTCTATAGGTAGGGTTTGAAAGAGATATAAAAAACGAGGAAGTATATCCATTTTATAAAGTGCTATTCTACCTATCCAAGAGTGTTTATAGGGTGTCCACCTCTTCATTTGTAGGATAGAGGACTGTAGCAGAGGCCTGTAATTAAGGTCATAGAGTTCCGCTAAGTCTTTAGGGAGAAGTATCCCCAGATATCTTATGGCTGAGGTCTGCCACCTGAATGGAAAGCTGTCAATCAGGTGGGAAACTTCCTCGTCAGGTAGTGTTACGTTTAATACCTCTGTCTTTTGGAGATTAACTTTAAAGTTACTAGCCAACCCAAATTTACGAAATTCTTCTAGCAATGATGGAAACCCTATTCTTGGATTTGTTATATATAATAGTACATCATCTGCATAAAGTCCTAATTTATATTGGTCCCCTTGGACATGGACCCCCTTAATTGATGTATTTTCCCGAATTGCTACAGCCAGATGTTCCATGGCTAAAACATATAGCATTGGGGATAAAGGGCATCCCTGTCTAGTGCCATTTTGGATATTAATAGGAGAGGAAAGAAAGCCATTTATCCTGACTCTTGCGGTAGGTCTTTTATATAGGGCCATAATTTTATCTACTACCGTTTTGGGTATGCCTATCTGTAGCAATGTCTGGAGTAAAAAACCCCAGCTCAACCGATCGAACGCTTTTTCAGCGTCCACGGAAAGAATGCATAGTGGAAGTCTCTTGATGTTTGCGTATCTCATAAGGGTCAGTGTCTTAATAGTATTATCCCTGGCTTCTCTGCCTGGGACAAATCCTACTTGATCTCTATGAATAATTGATGGTATATAGGTCCCTAGGCGGTTTGCAATAATTTTTGCATATATTTTTAAGTCAACATTAATAAGAGATATAGGCCTGTAATTTTGACAATGAGTAAGATCTTTATTTGGTTTAGGCACTACCACTATGTGTGCTTCCTGTGATTGATTGGTAAAAGGGCACTCTTCAGCTATGGAGTTATACATATCTTTCAGTATTGGGGCTAATAACTCCCTAAACTGTTTATAAAACATGCCTGTATATCCATCCGGGCCTGGACTTTTCCCGGGGGGTTTTAATTATATTATTTATCTCTTCCACCGTAAATGGTGCTTCAAGTGTTTCTGCCTCTTCCCTCGACATCCTCGGTATAGGGGTCTCTGCAGTATATGTTGTTACCCCTGATATCATCTCCGATTCCTCTGAGGATATCTTCTTTACTGCTGCTATATTATAGAGTTCAGAGTAATAGGTCTGAAATTCCTGAGCTATATCATCCGTACGGTGGACTATACATCCTCCCTTTCCTTGGATTTTTGCTACAAAAGTATGTGCAATCTGGCAATTTACTGATCTGGCTAGTAGACGACCCCCTTTGTCTCCTTGTTCATAAAATGAGCGTCGGATAGCCTCTCTATATTTCACTACTCCTCACTTGCTTTATAGGGTTTATTGTTGTTTAAACATCTCCTCCTGCAGGCCAGGTAACCTTAAAGATATCACAACCTACACAGATGGGGAACACATAGCACCCTTCCAGGAACCATCCCTGGCGTTTCTGTACAATTGGTAATATCAGCAGTAAAGAGGTGTAGAGTGCATCATATAGTTGTTTCTCCCAATATTACTGGTTTGATTTCAAACAGCAGGAATGTCTGGTGTATGCAGGCTTCTTACTTTTTATATATCTATAGATATATCTATCAATATATCTATAGATCAATAGATATATATCTATAGATATATAACACACATACACACTATATATACATTCACAATGCAATCAGGAAGTATTCAGACCCCCTTCACTTTCCCCATAATGAAAAAGTGAAAACAAAATTGTAGAAATGTCTGAATTTATTAAAAAGAGAAAACAAACTGAAATATCACACATAAGTATTCAGACCCTTTACTCAGTACTTTGTTGAAGCACATTTGGCAGCAATTGCAGCCTCAAGTCTTTTTTGGGGTATGATGTGATAAGCTTTACACACCTGAATTGAGGGATTTTCTGCCATTCTTCTTTGCAAATTATCTTAATCTCGGTCAGGTTGGATGGGGACCATGAGTGGACAGCCCTTCTCAGGTCTCTCCAGAGACGTTCAATGGGGTTCAAGTCAGAGCTCTGGTTGAGCCACTCACAGAGTTATCCCTAAGCCATTCCTGATTTGTCTTTGCCGTGTGCTTAATATCATTGTCATGTTGAAAGGTGAACCTTTGGCCCAGTGCGAGTTCCTGAACGCTGTGAAACAGGTTAATTGAGCATATCTTTGTACTTTGCTTTCCCTCAACCCTGCGTGATTGACAGCTGGCTCTGCCTATCTAGAGGCAGAACCAGCTGTACCCCTTCCCCCGTCCGTTCTGCCAGTCAGCGCTGGGGCATCAGAGCGGGGAGGGGAACCCTGCAGGGTGTCGTGAGTGACGGTCACAGCTCTCTGTAGGGACAGGATCGAGAAGTGAGCGAGCGACGGTATGTGTTCGCTCACTTCCCGATCTATTGAGCTGACATGTGACAGTTTAATTGTCACACGTCAGCTCGAACTATGAGGTTGAGTGAAAATCACACACCTCATAGTTCTCCTTTAAATGCCGAGACATAAAAAGGCTATAAAACTGGGTATCCATCTATTGTTTCCTCTTAACATATATATGCATAACTTAATAATTATCTCAATTAAGTAAATCTGAACTATATCTTGGGTTGGTAGACTATCCACTTTTAAGATGTCTATCCTTCCTAAGATTTCTTTTCCATAAGAAATAAACTTATGAAGAGAATTGTACAACAAATATAATCAGGTAAGTACACAATGGAGTAATACACTGTAACCTCAGAGTATCATAGGATAACCCAGAGAACAGATTGTAAACAATGGACAATTATGCTAAAGATGTCCCACCACTACATTAGAAATTGACAAGCTCCTCAGATATACATAGCAATAAGTGACCGGGATCTATTAATAAGCTCCATTAGGGGAAGGGAGAGGGGGGGAGAAAAAGAGGGGAAGAAAAAATGTGTAAAAGAGACTGAAGAAAAGTAAGCAGAAAATCACAAGAAACAAGAACATGGACCGTAAGGCCTCATTCACACCAGATGCAGTGCGTTCCAGTGCGATTCTGGCAAGAACACACTAGGTCTGCAGCTAACGATTATTTCCATAATCAATTAGTTAGCCGATTATCAACTTCGATTAATTGGATAAAATACAATTTTAAAAATGTAATTTATTTAAAATACACACATATAGTGTTACATTAAGTTTACTTCAGAATAACGTAATGCACATTTTTTGAAATTGTACTGCACTGGAACGCACGACATTACATTACTGTGTGTTCCAGTGCACACTATGAACGGGAG